TATTGCTGATATAAATAGTCCAGTTAGATAAGTGTTGATAGCTATAAACCTGCCATTGTGAGTATCAAATGACAACATTTTAATTTCTAAAATAAAAAGCTCTTTTTTATATAAATCATATTTATTATCGATGATGAGGTTGATAGATAACAGCTTAACACTATTATATACAAATTACTCAATATAACACTTGAAGAATAGCCTAAAAGTATGTAATACAAGGTTGTGGTCTCTTTAGAGGTAAATTTAATATCTGATTGACTTTAAATTAATATCCGTGTTTACAAAGAATCCTATTGATTTTCACCAAATTCCGATAATTACTGCCAGAGTTACATATATCGCCCTTTATCACTTTGAAAAATCTGGTGGACGCTCTAGGGGCTAAAGTTAATATCCGATTGACTTTAAATATATACACAGTCTTTAAGGTCATCAGACGAAGAAGCCTGTTGATTTTCAACGATTTCTGATAATGACTGCCAGATAGTTATCATACACCGTGTTTACACCTATATATAATAGTTTCAATTGACTTTAGATTGATACACAGAGTTTAAGGTCTTGAGACGAACAAGTATATTGATTTTCAATGATTTTTGATAACTTGAACAGCTAAATACATGACATTAAGTGTTTTGTATATACGTTAGCATGGGCCAAACAAATTCCAATGATTTTCTGATAATTACATAACGAGTTGTTACTCTTAATCAGATTTTAGTGTATTGTAAATATTTCATTACCGAAAAATATCTCTGTTCCTTTTGATATTCACGCAAATCAGACCTAATTTCCCGTCTTATGACCCCCAATTTTACGAGAAATCACGTTTTTATCTTGTCCGATTATATGTTTATATCCCAAAGTTCTGGGTTCCAGTCGATACTTCGGACCGTGTCAGCCTGGATTATGATACCTGATTGTACGAAAAACTTGTTTTTAAAGCTTGTTCTCTGTCCATCTCTTGCAAAATGTTGGCGTCTCTTGCATGGCAACGCCTGTTTCCAAATATATTTCATATTCAAGCTGTATATTAAATAACAAATAGATTGTTTTGGGGTAACCTCTCCCTGTATTTAAAAAATCCGTAAATGTTCATATTTTTGAACGAACATAAGATATTTTTGGATCAAATTTTCTTTAATAATAATTGATAAGTTTGTAAATAGTATTGTACCTTGTAGTCACATATAATACATGTACGATGGCTCAATAGGCCCTTTTCTATGGAAATAAATATGCATAGATGAATGTAAAATGCCACTGGCAAGAGTTATACAAAGATAATGTGCTCAACAACGCTTATTTTACTTATGAATATTAATCTCCCCAGGAAAAAGGTCCAAAATCATTTAATTGGATAACATCATATTGGTCAATATCAAAGTATATGAGTAAAATAGTGTAAGATATTTTATAGCCTGGCTTAGAGAAGTTGCTGTAGATATTACATCTCATTAAATAAGCATATTATTACCGGGACTTTACGTAATATTTGAATCCATTTTTATACGCTGACATTTTCATGTGGACGTATATTGTCGTCGGCTCTGTCCATCCGTCCGGACGTCCACAATTGTTTGTGAACACTCTACAGGTCACAATTTTTATCCAATTTCAATGAAACTTGAAATATAGGTTAATCCCCCTAAGATCTCAGTTCCTTTCTATATTGGCATGTATCGGACTGTAACTTCATGGATTATGGCCCCCCGATTGTACGAACTATTACGTTTTGAGCTCGTGAACAGTGTAGAGGTCACAATTTTTAGCCGATTTGGTTTAAATTTGAAATTTATGTTTGTATACCCTGGCTAAAACAAGATGCTACATCTAATTAAATAAGCTAATTATTACTTTATGTAATATTTGAATCAATTTTATTTTCATGATATAATTATTATATTAAATTGTTATTAAATTTGTTTATTTCTACATTCAATTTGATTATTTTCTTTTATTCTCTTATTCAATTTTAATTTTAATTTCAATTGAAAATCCCACAGAATCTGATCTCCAAATCATCTAGCTTTTATATTCTAAATATAGAGCAGTGTAATATGACACTTATACACTGCACCATCTAAATAGATAATAATTGGGCGACAATTTATTATCTTTGAGAAGTTGATGACAGGATTCTCTTCAACAAACTTCCATTGTCTTTGAGGTCAAATTCCTAAACATGAAGAAATCAGGCTGATTTCTAGTTGGTCTTAAGAGTGTATATAATATTTAAGTAAGGGCCAAAGAAAGACCTGCAATCCACAGATTTATCTCTTACATAATGTATGTTTAAGAGGTATACAAACAATGCAATAGTTTGCAAAGTTGTTGCCATGGTATCCATATTTTGATAAGACAATATAACAAAATGATAAAACTAAATATAGAGCAATGAAGTATTGATAACAGTAAAATTTTGTTACCATGGAAACCAAATTCAAATTAAGTTGTCTTTACTAAGAATAAACACTATTGATAAATGTAGCAATGTTTAAATGACGGATGTATTTAAATTAATCATGTAACAAATCTCATTTTAGATATGGATAATATACATAAATACCTTCATTGTTGCCATTTATATCCTATACAAATTAATCTTTTTTCTAAACAATAACAAAATGTGTTCAATAAATCTTACAAATTTGAAAATAATGATAAGAAGATTCCATTTGTAGGGCTATACAAAAAAACAACCAAAATCAAAAAAGTAAAGGGTGGCGAATACTCATAAATTTGATTTTGAATATGAATTTTCAAGAAATATATTGTACCACAAATTAAAAACCTCCTCGATTCTGATTGGTCAAATGGACAATAAACCCCATCTAAATTATCAAGGCGAATTACTGTGTACTTTTTATTTCATTTTTGTGCTCAATGATCTTCTTGAACTCGAATCTTTATTGACAAATATCTGTAAAGAAATTCTGCACACATGACTATCACACCATTTTCAACATCTTTTATGAAAACACATTCCTGAAATACATAAAACAATAGAAAATCAGTCATAAATTAGAAATCTGAGTGGTGAGTAACCGTCCCAGATTTCTCTAATGAAGCAACTAGTTTCATTCAGGCTTAAGTAAGATTGTGCAGATATTCCCTTTTATGTAATTGTCGGATGGACCTGCGCAGTTCTGTATCACCGGAGCAACTGCTTCCATTTAATGGTGAACAGATAGATGGCTAAAGAGCTGATTCGCATATACTCTATGGCTCCCAACCCATTTGAATGTGTCATTTAAAATGATATAAACAAGTGGGAATTATTTGGATAACCACATTGGGTTATTGAAATGTGTAATATGCACTAAGCTTTTTTAGTATTTGGAACTCATCTAGACATGCATGATTAGTTTACAGTCAGACTAAATATTCAACTGCTATTTGGCAATTGTGCTGTCGGGTTTTTTGATCATGTGATAAAAATACCTAGTACTCGCGTATATTGGTGCGGTAAGATGGCCGAGTCCCTAATCTGAGGGACCAATCAACTCTATCGTTACAGGTTTCCTGTTACTAATTGTGGGATAAGGAGTAAGATATGACGACCTGTCACGTATTTCTTCCACTGGTTTGCGAAATATATCTGAGGTAATAACACTAGGATTTTCAGTGGTATTTTGAAGCTGAAACACCATTCCTCGCATTGAGAATACAGGCGCCACTATTACGTCATGGGAATTCCCATACCTATAATATTAATGGCGATGTGCCAATGATTTTGACAAGAATTGATAAATCAAGGCCCTGCAATTGATGTGCACAAGAGAGAAATAGCTAAGAGAAAACGAAAAAATACAGAAAAAGTCTGTGCATTACCATGTTTTTATTAAGTATAGAATGAATAAAAACAAGTGAATTTATACACAGTGTTTATGGTCATGAGACGAAGAAGCCTATTGATTTATAGCGATTTCCGATAATTACTGCCAGAGTAATGGCCCTTGATCACTTCAAAATATCTTGTGGATGCTCTAAAGGCTAAAGATAATATCCGATTGACTTTAGATTTATACACAGTGTTTAAGGTCATGAGACAAAGAAGCCTTTTGATTTTCAGCGAGTTCCGATAATTACTGCCTTTGATCACTTCAAAAAGTCTTGTGGACACTCTAGAGGCTAAAGTTAATATCCGATTGACTTTAGATTTATACGCAGTGTTTGAGGTCATGAGATGAAAAATCCTATTGATTTTCAATGATTTCCAATAATTACTGCCAAAGTTATGGCCCTTGATCACTTTGAAAAATCTTGTGACTCTCTAGAGGCTTATATTATCATCCGATTGACGTCAGATTGATACAGAGTTTAAGGTCTTGAGACGAACAAGTATATTGATTTTCAATGAATTTTGATAACTTAAATAAGTATATTGATTTTCAATGAATTTTGATAACTTGAACAGCTAAATCCATGATATTAAATGTTTTGTATACTAAACATTAGCATGGGGCAGAACTTTATAAAAACCAAACAAATTTTAATGATTTTCTGATAATTACTTAATGAGTTGTTACTCTTAATCAGATTTTAGTGTATTATAAATGTTTCATTACTGAAAAACGTAAAAATATGCGACAACTCTTGTTGACTGTCCAGATGATTTAGCTGCAGTGGACGTATGTTTCGTTGCCTGGCAACCTATCTTTTGAATTGTCAAATATCTTCTTATAGTCTCACATAACAACTTTTGGTCTCTTTGAAGGATTTATTAGTGAGCAGCAATTCGCCCATTTATCTGTTATCACTCATCACTTCAGTCAGTTATATAGAAGGATAACTGGTGTTTTCCTTTTGCGTTTGTCACTTCCTATTGTTGAAACCTTCATTACACATCTACATGTATCAAGCAATGATATCTGTGTTAAAATAATATTTGGAATGTGTTTGAGTTCTATCACATATGTGATAATGGCTACACCAATTTTGTTGCCTGGCAACCTATCTTTGCATATTTAATACAATACTAAATTATTTTGCAGAAAGAATTAATAGGACAGAGTTGGTTTGATGTTCTGCATCCACAAGACATCAGTAAAATAAAAGAACAATTATCATCTTCAGATCTCTCTCCACGCGAACGACTCATAGATGCCAAGAGTAAGTCCACATGATATCTTTTTCAATTATTAACCATACAATGAATGTAACTGACATGGCTTTTTCCAATTAACAGAAATCTTACACTTAAAAGAAAGGGCATTTTTGTGTTAAGCTGACTATTTAATCAAAAGTCAGTATATCAGGCCTGTACATTTCTTTGTTCAGTAATGTCATGAGATGGTTTAGAACCAATATATCTGAGAAATTAATTCATTGATAATTATTTATTAATTTCTAGCTCAAAATTATCAATACAACTCAAAATTATCAGGTGGGGTTTGATGGCCGAATGGTTAGCACGTGTGCACTGTATCATAAGGTCTGTCATTGAGTCACCTCATGGGTTTTCTCCCGGTCCTCTGGTTTCCTCCCACTGTTAAAGACCCCTACGCACAAGCGTATTGAAATAAAATTGAACCATATGTTAGTCCCAAAATGAGTGGACGTTAAACCCAATTTCTCTCTCTCTCAAAATTAGGATGTGTAGGAATAGTCTTTCTATGTCCATTTCAGCTCTTTATTATCCCTTGCCGAACAAAGTTTGTGTCGAGTGGACGTTAAACCCTATTTCTCTCTTTACACCCTTTGGGCGTTGCCAAACCCACTTTTTGTTAATATTTTGTTTGTAATAATTAACATCTTATGTTCAAACTCAGCATATCAATCATGTCAATAACAGGGTGGTACCTACTCCATATCCAACCCCCAGGGGCAGAGCCACGCCCAATTTTTGTATTTATCGTCTATAGGCTGCAATTCTGAATGGATCATCTTGGAACTTTGCATATTTATTCCTTATACCTTAAAGACAACAACTATTTATTTTGGTGCATGCCCTGACCCCCAGGGGAGGTGTCACACCCACTTTTTTGCTAATATTTACTCTGTAAATTTGGCAAAACAAACCCAACAACTACCCTTCTATGCCTCTTGTCATATTAAAGTCATTACAACCATTTCATATTTCATTCTCTTCATTTTGAAAAGTACCATATCAATCAAAGCACTAATGTTGACATATATTGCAGCGTTACTGATACTCTTGTTGAAGAATGCATTTTAAATATTTTTGGAAGTTAAGCAGACAAATGTACGGCTACCGTTTCGTGATACTTCCAGATATCAATCAGTGGATTTACGATTTGTCCAGTGCCATTTATGATTGCCTGTAAAACATTCATAAAGTTTGCATAGTTAAACTGCCAAGGGATATTTTACGTGCACGTCAATATGTACCATACAAACGACTAGACACTATTCCTTGCCTTTGCTAGGCTCTCCATTGTGCATCACTTTAAAATCCTGAAGTACTTTCTCAGCCAACAACGGGATTGAACCTGGGACCTGCTGCTTAATGAGCCAGTGCCTTATTCACTGAGCCACTGTGGTTCCCCACAGGAAATATGAATGTGAGGTAATCAATGAGAATATATTTATGTGAACAAATGATGCAGCTCTTTGATGTGACTCAGGCATTGTATCTGAGAACAATAAAAAAAAACAATTTCAGATGGCCTTATGCATTATTTTATAATACATGTATGCACTTTTCAGCTATGATGCCGGTTAAAACAGAATTACCACAAAAATCATCTCAACTATGTTCTGGTGCCAGACGATCCTTTTTCTGTCGTATGAGAACTGGTGGTAAAGCGTCTGCCTCTAATAACCTTCTGGTACCTAAAAACAAGATTGATGCAGATAGTATGTCTCCAAGAAAGAAAAAGACAGGTATATCTAGCTTAAAAGTTTAAAACTTATGGAAATCAGCTATTAAACATACATTATGCAAGAGCTAAATCTGCCTGTTGCAGGTATTTCTTTAGGTTTGAAATGTATAAACTATTAATTAGACATTTATTAACATGATGCCATCTTATGTGTCAGATTTCCACTGGATTTAAATCGGCTCTGCTGCTCAATGCTCATTGATAATTAAATCCAAAAATGGATAACTGAGACTATGTTTTTTATTGTACCGACTTTAGTAATGATGATCGAGGCTAGGCCTAAAATTCAATGGCTAATATCTTGGTTCAGAGTGGATCAATTTGACTGAAATTTTCAGCATATTCCCTTAACATTATCTAGTTTTTAACTATTACAGTGAGAACTGCCAGCTCTTTATCTAATCTTCCATAATGCCCCTTTAACCGACCTCTGTAGTTTATAAGACCTATTATCTATAAAATTTATAGGTTCGATCTTACACTTAATGTGACAAGGAGTAGGATCACTCATAGGTTTTATCTGCGGTTAAAGTCCAAATTATTCTGGGACCCCAAAACCTTGTTCAGTACCATGAGTGTTGGCACTAGGAAGAACTAGAAGCTATTAAAATTTTATCTGATAATTACTTCATGGGTTGTTACCATTGATCAGTTTTTAGTGTCTTGTAAATGCTCTCATTACCTCAAAAAAAAAAAAAAAAAAATGTGGATTGCTCGAACAACTTGACTTTTGTGAGCCTGTGTTTCATTGTCTGACAACCTATCGTTCTGTATTTCCAAAAGTAAAAGCTTTTAATTGATTCATTGTACTGGTTATTTTATTTAAAATCTTTCTATATTTTAGATCGTAAAAACTTTAGTGTGATTCATTGTACTGGTTATTTAAAATCGTGGCCTGTGTCTAAAGTGAACTTAGATGAAGATAAAGAAATATATCCTGATCTGAACAGTTTAAGTTGTTTGGTTGTTATAGGACGACCCCAAAAAATCTATCAATCTAAAACAAACTTTAAAAAACATATCAATATACGCCCATTAGAATATACTTCACGACATAGTGTGGATGGAAAGTTTCAATATGTTGATGAAAGGTAAATAATGAAACTGTATGTATATTTTTTATATGCCAAAATCTGCTTTTTATCCTGCTTCAAAATGTTAAATGGATTAAGATTGTGGCTCAGATCACAAATTGGAAACAAAATTCATTATGGGTTGATTAAAATTTCAGCTTGATGAACAATAAATAATATGAAACAAAATCAAAGTAAATACGAATTTGTAAAATTCTCAAGGCTGAAATCAAGATCTTTGAACAGGTTAATTCTGCCCAGAAGACTCTTTTTCCTTGTCCTGTACAACTATCTGAAGCACTGTGGAACTTGTTTTTGTAGAAATCCAGACTTTCAGTTTCCATTTATTTTTGGTGACATGTCCCCAAATTTCTTGTCATCATCATGTTCCTGGATAGCCATGTGTAAATACTTGCATACATTGTGCTACAGGATTCCTTAACCGTGTTCCTGCAAAACAAATCTAGTAATTGCTTCCAAATGACTCAGTATTTTGAACTGAAACTTCCAAACTCTTTGGGCCATTTCTTCACATTTGTCTTTTAATTTGTATACTTTAAACACACTTTTATTGTCAGTAAAATCTGGAACTAACCCATTAATGGACTCATCTACATCAGCGTAGCTAGTTGGTGTAAAAAAGTAGGTTGTCTAATCCTATTTCATTTTATTTCCATTTATGACTATGTAAAATACTAATAGTTTGCCCTTTTTCTCACTCAGGGCGACGATTATTTTAGGATTATTGCCTCAAGAACTGTTGGGTACATCAGTTTATGAGTATTATCATCAAAAAGATATTGCTCATTTAGCAGACGTTCATCGGAAAGGTACGTTATGAATAATTTTATATATAATAAAGTAAACCGGGCAAAATTTCCCCCATAGCACACTGTATGGCATATGCCCGTCTTCATTAGCCCAGTATAGGAGCAGAACAGTAGGACGTTAAACCCCATTTCATTTCATTTCAGCTTTACTAAATTACTTTCTTCCAACCTTTTAGTAAAACCCACATTATCATTATTATTATATGGTATGATCATTTCTGCTGCTGCTGCATTATTTATATAACTCCCCTCCATTGACATGTTCAGGGGTGACTAACAATATGATGTTACGAAGTGTAAAATAAAACCACGAAAGACAGTAAAATCTGGATCTAAAATAATATCAGAAAAAAGAATGTTACAACACACAGTTATATGTAAGTGACAACCATTGTGGACGGCTCACACGACTTAGCTACTATTTTATGTTGCCTAGCAGCCTAAATTTTTTATTTTCTTTCAGTTTTACAAACAAGGGAAAAAGTACAAACTAATCCTTATAGGTTTAAATCCAGTGGAGGAAGATTTGTCATTTTACAGTCCACATGTTTTGGTTTTCAAAATCCATTTACTAAAGAAGTAGAATACATTGTATCTATGAATAAAATTGTTAGGTAAGAACATATTCCAAAAACAGTGGTTATGAGTGTAATCAGCTCATTAACTACTGCTACATTTATGACTTATTCAGCCAGCTGGAGATTTCAAACTCACAATTTCTCTGTTATCACAGCTTGGATAGATATATTTCTGAAAAGCAGTCAGTGTCCTTTACATGTTATGCAACAGATACAAGTTTAATAGAAGTATGAGGTAAATACATCAGAGAATGTTTCAGCTATTTAGAATATTAAAATGAAAACAATCGCGCAGGGATAATATATGTTAATATTTCGTTTGAAAAGTGGATAAAATAAACTTAAAGTTACAATTTCATATTTTCTAAGAAAGTCAAAACATAATTATTTCTATGTCTTTTGCTCAATAGGTTGTCAACTCACTATTACACGATCATAGGTGTCATTCTCACACTTAAAACTCATTTACACCAGAAATAATAACACAATTACCTCCCAATTATCTCCCTTGTTTTATATTCTCCACCATGGAGTAGCTATCCTCATACGTTTGAATTTGAAGAGGAAAATGATATTTTTGCCAATTTCTCAACTGGCAATATTGAATTATTGGATTAATAGGATTATTCTTTAACAAGGTAGGACTGTTTATAGATACCATCTATTTTAAGGCTTCATTTTAATCAATTTTAAAAATATAACGTAAAAATATGAAATTGCAACTTGAAACTAAAAACAAGGGAACTTCAAGGTCTCTTTGGTAAGCCACCAGTAGAATGGATATGCAATCATCTAATGATTTATTGCGTGCTATAATTAATGATAACTTATAAAGCAAGTACCAATTATACAATGTAAAATGACTAATTCTCTTTGATTTGGGTAAATACAGTGACGATTTACAACTGGATTTTTTTATTTGTTTTTCAAAGTGAGTGCCAAATTCACAAAAACGTGCTTATGTAAGCAGATCAGTCAAATTTAACAGTTTATTTTTAACCTTGGATGCTTCTTCGCCTGTATATTCCGGACATGTCCTACACAATTTTTTAAACGTCTGACCAGGAATATGCACAATCAGACATCAAGATATGGTGAATAATATTAAAATCCCAAAATATATTGACTGTACTGAGTGTGTAACTACTACTCATCTCTGTTATCGTTGATAATAGACTGGATTAATTAGGTAATTAAGTAATCAACCTATTTATCGTGATATCAGTCTGTACACCTACCTTGATTAACTACTCAATCTGCTTCGACTGACTTGCTTAATCCTTTGTCGGACTATTCGTCAATCCAATAAGAGTGATTAAAAACTTAATTTACGTGATTACCTCAATGGTTTCTCCTTTGTCAGACATTTTAATCACCTTGATGTATGTAGAAAGTAGTCATAAAGGTCATGTATATAACACCCCAAGTCAATGGAGAGTCATTATAACTTTCATTTGAAGACTCCATATAGAAATTCCCATCTACAGTGGCACAGTTACCTGGAAATCATCGCTTGCCTCATAAAGCATTGCTTACTACAAAACTAGTAAAAGGTCATGTATACCAATAACCAGGGTTCTTAATCCATTTTGAAACGAAACCGGCCAGAATTGGGTCAAATGAGGTCCCAGTAGGAACTGGGTTTTAAAATTTTAAGCTTCCATTCTCTTTACAAGGCTAGAAATTCGACATTTTTTGTGAGAATCTAAGAGGATTCTCATATATGCAATCTGCGCGAATCCTCTGAATCTTAATTAATAATACTGTCTAAAAAACAAAATTGTGTTTATTGTGTTAATCTAAGACATTAAAATACGACAACAATGATAAAAAAAAAAAAAATCAATCAGATGGAGTTTTTGGTAAACACTTAAATTGTGTCAAAAGTAATATCCAGAGAATGCTGTAGTCAAAATAAGCAATAAGCTGATACAGCACCATGGCATTTCTTCATAGCACAATTTGTAGTCTTTTGTCCATCACGTAACTAGTCACGTAACTTGCAAAAGTTTTAATTCAATCGTCGATGATAGACGAACGGCACAATGATCATATGACAACCATAACTGAAATTGCTATAAAATAAAAGTCTGTACGACTATGATATAGCCTTCAATAATATTTTTAAACTTAAGCCTCTGTCAGTAAAGTATAAAATAGAAATCATAACGGTAAATGCTATTTAGAACTGGTTTATTGACCTAATTCCAACCGATATGTCACGTGTCATTGGAATTCGGCATTCGGGATTCTGTTGGGGAAAATATCCACTGTTTCTCTCTCTGTATATTCGGTGTTCTATCAGGGGATTATATTCAATGAAGATTTAAATTTACCTAACAGCTGGTCAGTGAATCCATCGATGTATGATTTTGATATCTACCGGTACATGGAATTCACACAGACGGAGCGTGGAAGATGTGCGATTCGCAAATCATGCCGAGATCGTCTTCATTCACCGTGTTTTACTGTACCTATTATGAATTATCAGCAAGCTTGTTTTGTTTTTTTTACCGGATTATCTAAAACACCGTTAAATGTGCTAATTACTCGGATTATGAACCACATATGGCCGATTCTCACTAAGGTATGACTGTTGTTGTAGCCTACACTTCTTTATTAACAAGTAATAATTAACGCGTTGTAATATTAGCCCCAAGTAGATTGATTTATGATACCATGTGGCCGATTCATTGTTTTACCAATCGGCTAGATTAAACATCAATCGGCTAAATCCCACAAAATACAGCTGATTAAGAACACTGACCCTAACTAACTGACATTCAACAGTTGGACTCGACAATTCTCTGAGATTTTTTTTGTTTTTTAAAGAAACATTTTATGCGAATCCTTATAGATTCACAGCGTAAGCTCTTGCGAGAATCCTTGCGCGATTTAGATTCGGAGATTTGCATGAATTTCTAGCCCTGCTTTAATATAACCAGACTTCAACAAAAATAATTCTTGGTAATTTGTTATGAGGAATATCGTATTCTACTGTATGTAATTACCACAAATAGCCTATAACGACAAACAGGTACCCCATATGGAAAATTTTCCATATTTAATTCACATACCGGCTTGAAATTCATGTCAATAATATTACTGAATAAATTACTGTATTTGTTTTTTTCGATGGATATAAATTGATACAGCACCATGGTATTTCTCCATAACACAATTTGTAGGGTTTTTTTTTCTATCACGTAACTTGCAAATGTTTTTATTCATTTGTCACATGATAGACACATGGTACAGTGATCATGTGACAACCATAATTGAAACGGCTTTAAAACTAAATTCCATACGACTATGCCATACAGCTTTCAATAATAATAATAACGACAGTATTTTAAAAATCAAGCCTCTGTCAGCATGTGTATAAAATAAAAAATCATAACAGTAAACGCTATTTAAAACTAAATCGCTGGTTTACTGACCTAATTCTAACCGATGTCATATTCGGCATTGGAGATTCATAATATATTATTAATGAATGTTTCTCTGTGTATTCGTTGTTTTATCGGAGGTTGATATTCAACTGGTGCTACCGTTACTTGTGCTAATTACTCAGATTATGAACCACATGGCCGATTCTTAGTAAGGTATGACTGTTATTGTAGCCGACAAGCAAGTTAATTGACTACTTAATTAACAAGTAATAATTGACCCGTTGTAATTTAGCCGAAAGTAGATTGATTTATGATACCATAGTGGCCGGTTCATTGTTTTAATAATCGGCTTGATTGAACTTCAAGCGGCTAAAGCCGACAAAAAACAGCCGGTTAAGATCCTGCCAATAACAGACATCATAATACACGAAAGTTGGCTATGCCTTTTTTACGATTGATTAAAATTACCAATGTAATTTTAAATATCATTTTATAAAGAACAAACTATGTTTAGATATGAATTATTCTTATCATAAACGTTTCGATTTCGTTCGCTATTGTTCAAACGAAGGCAGGTAATTATTGAGGAACATTACTGAGTTGAACTAGAGCCAATCCGGGAATTAAATATAAAAAATAGTGAGGACCACCTAATTTTTTGTACTAATCATAAACATTATTTAGAACATGATATGCAACATAAGAAATATTTCTAGTTGAAATCCATTAAAGGAAATGGAAGCCTATTGACCTTAATTCCTGAAGTGGAAAATGTCTGATGTGCAAAATTCTGAAATAGCATCCCAGTTTTTAAGAGATTATCTTTACTTGTATTATATTTTTGACAGTGAACCAGAGGTAACCGGATGTGATACGTCAGAAGAAATTCTCATCAAAATGAACCCCAATTTTCCTAATGATAAAATAATCAGTTTAGGTAAGTGCTCATGGCTTTATTTAACATTAGTCATCCCTATCATGTTTCCTGAAAACAAGTCGTGTTTCATTTCCCTATTTCACATTACACTCTCAAAAAGATGCTTTCATCTACGTAAGCCAGTGCTTGGATTTTCAATAATTGGACGAGTTTAGGGTTATTTGAAATATGAAGGTATATGAAATGGATTACATTTATTAAATTATTGTTGAAAGTATCATAAAAGTATTATTTCCAGTCAGTATTTAATACAAGCTTTTAGGTGCTATTTCATTCATTGCATTTGGAGGCGCGCGGTCACTCGCAAGTGCCTGCCATGCACCTGAGTGTCGACTGAGGGGAAGATTTTCTCCCTCTCCTTAAAATTGAAAATCGCTCTCCTTATTTGTAAATCATGGACATACGTATTTTTTTTTAAAAAAAGAATGTGAAAGATTCACATTTCGATCGCCGCCATGCTGTCAATGTGAACATTTATTTGGTGTATTCCATTAGTGTATAATGTGATCGTACATGGTAATAAAATTCTGATATTGCTAAAAAATAGATGGCACCTATGCATCATTCCTAATTTAACTGAAATATAAAGTAGAACTCTCGCAAGACGTGAGAAATTAAGTGAGATGGCACGTGAAAATTTCCAATGAGAATTATTCCGGAAGAAATAGATAATATTTTGATAGAATTTTTGAGCGTTCATGATTATATTTCGCATAGGAGTTATGTTTTTAACCAAAATTTATACAAGCTATATAGTCGACAAGTAATTCTGTTGGAATACCATGCATAAGTAGTTTTAGACGATAGCAAAAGTTTGACTTGACCGTACGACAACGAGTACTATTATTTAGCAGACGATGCTTTTTATCATTTACCGTATGTAACCAGGAATGACCCTTACACGCAGTTATTGATCTTCAGAACCATTTCCCATACACACAAATAATCACTCTGTTCATTAAGGGGAGCTATTTAAATAACACAAGAATAACACCCTTCAAGTAAACATTTAAAAGTTCAGAAGACTTATCCAAGTTTTCATGATAGGTTGTTTTAGAAAATAAGTGACAGTCTGGGTTTCCACAAAGCATTTCAATCATGTCTAGGTATAAGAGCAAAAACACGAAAGTGCCAAATATATTTGTCCTCATCTTGTTGGCATCTTCAGTTAGCTAATCTATTTATTTATTTGTTGATTGAGGTGGTTGGTCATCATCCTCACCGTTGTTTTGTTTTGGGAAAATTTAGAGTTGTTTTAGATAAAAAAACACAACACTATTTATATGGAAAAACAACCACTGGTTTGTACACATATAGCACAATGTTTCGACAAGTATCCTCAAGCACAAATGATAATGACAAGAGGATACTTGTCGAAACGTTGTGCTATATGTGTACAAATCAGGAATTGTTGTTCCATATAGATTGTGTTGTGTTTTTTAATGTGATCAATCGATAAATGCCATTCAAGAAGTATTTAAGATAATTGGCAAAGAAAATTTGCAACTTTGAGTGATTAATGAATAAGTGTGTGAAATAGCTTTATTTAACGTCTCTTCCACCGAAATGATATCGCAGAAAGTACATACCACTTTTATATGGTCATTTTGTGTGCTCTTTAAAAATTACAGTATAATTAGAATTATCTCCCCTTTCAGGTAATTTCTAGTTTTCACATTGACACAATCTGCGATGGTTGTACAACTGCTGATTATTGGTCATTTCCAGGTTCAGGTCACTCACTGCCTTTCATTCTTATATTTTTTTTTAAAAAAAAAAACATAAGCAACGTTATTTAATTACAAATGTTAGCTCATGGAGTTGCACATTACGCTGTTGATGTAGATAAACTTGTCTATCTGTCAGGCCTAACCCAACTTTAACACACAAGATGCATTTTAAATGGGAAATGATAACTCTTGTTAGTTTGACATAGATATGTTCGATAGTTTACTTATTTTGATTATATGATAGGTGAACTTACGAATTAACAAATTAAAAGTATAAGATAAAAGCATTTAGAACTGATTTTAGGATCAACATCAGTATCAGCATGTGATAGCAGGGACCTACCAGGAATATCTATAAGAGAATATACTAGTGCAGGTAGAATAGGTACAAAAATAGCTGAAGAATCCACGGAGTAAGTTACATTATTATTTTTCTCACACATATGTAGGTTTTGTAAGTTCCAGTACGAAAGGAGATTCATGTTATGTTGAGGGCATCATAGCCACTTCACACAGATTTAAAACAGTATTTAAGGGACATAATACTGTATATTCCTTCTATACAGTTCTGAATTCAAGAAAACTTTAACTAAAATATTTTAAATGGACATCCCCTAGTTGTTTTTAGCTGAACTAGTAGACATTTGAGATTGGTGGGGTTTTATGGAATGTTTTATTTAGTACATCATATGTATATATTGTAATATGGGAGACTTTTTATATGCCCACATTGAAATGTGGTTGTATATTGTCATTAACCCTGTTTGTCCAAGGCTAAAGTTAATATCCAATTGGTTTTAAATTTATACACGGTGTTGAAGGTCATGAGATGAAGATAATTACCAAGAATTATGGCCCTTGGTTACTTTGAGAAATCTTCTGAACACTCTAGAGGCTAACATTAATATCCGATTGACTTTAGATTTATGCATAGTGGTTAAGGTCATGAGATGAAGAGGCCTATCGATTTTAAACGATTTCTGATAATTGCAGCTATAGTTATGGCCCTTGATTACTTTCAAACATCTTGTGGACACTCCAGAGCAGTGATTCCCAAGGTGGGCCTGGGAAAATCTCAGTGGGGCATAGGTCGCACTGGTAGGGTGTAGGCTGATAGTGAATTACAGGTATCTGCGTTTGTTTAAATGCCTTAATGTTTATTTGTGTGAATGTGTAAGTGAATTTCATCAGAAATACTTTTGTTGAAGGTATATTCTTATCATGAACTTTAAATGTTACAACTTTTGATTTAATTTTTGAATATATCGTATCGTGATGTAAGCGTATTGTTGCAGCCCTAATATTCTTATTAAATTTTGAAGTTTTTATTTGAATTATGAGTCTGTGTAAATGTTGTGCAGCATCATAATTTTTGGGGCATGGGAAAAAAAATGGTTGGGGATAAATTAATATCCAATTGACCTTAAATTTATACACAGTGTTTAAGGTCATTAGACAAAGAAACCTATTGATATTCAACGATTTCCGATAATTACTACCAGAGTTATGGGCCTTGATATTAAATGCTTTGTATTTTAAACTTTAGTATTGGGCAGAACTAGGAGCCAAACAAATACTAATGATTTTTGATTATCACTTAATGGGTTGTTACTCGTAATCATTTTTTAGTGTGTTGTAAATGTTTTCATTACTGACAAACAAAAAAAATATGCAACAACCCTTGTTGACTGCATGGACGACTTAAATGATGTGGGTGTGTGTGGCATTTCCTGGCAACCTATTTTTTCGTTACAGTTTACAAGTACCAGCAGATAGTAGTAGCCTGGAAGTCACACCTTTACCTCAGGTATGTAACATTTATTTTATCTATGCTAACAGTGAAACCCACAGATGTTAATGAATTCAGGAGCCGTAATGACTTAGCATATGCTCCAAATATGGATCCCACACTTTTAATTGACAAGGAATAGGGTCACCAGCCAAACTTTGTTGCTTTTCTCCCACTGCTAAAGACCCCTATGTGCAAGCGAATTATTGAAATAAAAACATGTAGACCTACCATATATATCAAGTATGAATTATTGAATTTATAAAAATCTTATTACCATTCAATATTTTGTATAGAGATTTGCTGTTCCAATGAATGTTCGAGTTCCTTTCCTGAATGCAGCATCTTCATCAACATCATTATCACAAGCAGGTAAACCATTTTAACACTGTGGTGGCTCAGTGAGTAAGACGCTGACTTGCTAACCTGGAAACTTGGAGGACCCCTTGCCAGTGATGCAAGACAGAGGGTCTCGCAAGGGACAGTGTATACAACCAAGGTCCCTTGAAGACATTGGCATGCATGAAAAGAACCCTTGGCATTTGGAATTTAATATAAGAGTAGGCTGTAGTGCCGCTATTCGTGATAAATTCTCCTCATAGCACACTGTATGTTGTATGCCAGTCTTCATTAGCCCAGTCGGAGCATAACAGTAGGATGCTAAACCCTATTTCATTTCGTAAGTGAATAATCAACGGTTTATCTGCTGAATAATAAATGATTGTCATCAGATCTTTGAATAAAACACATAGATGTCTGTCACAAGCTTACACCTTGTTTTGCCCTCACCTTTTACAATTATGTATAACTATGGTTCTCAATGGATGGTTGTTTAACAATTGGTAGCATTTTGCTGATCATGGCCAGAGCATTAGAATATAGAATGTTGGTATACTATAAAATAAAAGTTTATTTATGATTGAAGCCACTGAAAGTCTCCTCAGTTCTAAATGTTTGTGAAACATTAAGTCAACTGAAAATTTATAGGTCCAAGTGACGTACCTCAAATTTGTTGATTTTTCTTTCTGCAGCATGTTCATCAAAAACTGGGAATCTCCAGTGGTCATCGAAACTTGGTGATCAAAATGGCCATATTAGTTTAAATAGTAAAAGTAAGTATGAATAGTATATGGAATGAACCTGTTTAATCATGTATTATCATGTTTAGCTAAGAAGTGGGTGGGGTAGCTGAATGGTCTAAGGAGTGCTTTTGATTATCTGTTTGTATGTGACAAGGATAAGGGTCGTCTGACCAACCCCAGGGTTTTCTCCAGATCCTCCAGTTTCCTCCCACTGCTAAAGACCCCTACGTGCAAGCGAATTATTGAAATATAATTGAACCATATGTTATTCCTGAAATGACACTGGACATTAAACGCCATTTCTCTCTCTCATTATGTTTATCTAAGACAAATTGAATAACTAGGTTGTAAGGAAATTAATTTATTTATAGGAAAAAAATCTGTAAAAATAGTTATTTTAGAGATTCAAAATGCTTATTATTAAGGATGTAAGACTGTAAGTTACGCCATGCTTCAACTAGACTAATTAGAACATAATAACTGATATGACATAAAAAAGTCAGGATAAAGTCCAGAACTGACACCACTATGGAGTGATCAATTACATTTTGACTTAATGATTTACAGCAAAAAGTATTGACCACATAAATCCCATGATATTTCAAACTTTCTAAGCCTCTTTATACTTTCATGTGGACGTATATTTTCTTTTGGTGTTGGCATGTATCAGACCATAACTTCATCGATTATGGCCCCTGGTTGTACGAAAAATCATGTTTTTAGCTTGTGGACCCTATAGAGGTCAAAATTTTGATCCGATTTTGATGAAACTTGAAAAGCATGTTTATAACCCAATTATCTTGTTTCCTATCGATATCCGCGCATATCAAATCGTAACTTCCTGAATTCTGGTCCCCGATTGTACTTAAAATCACATTTTTAGCTTGTGGTCCCTCTAGAGGTCACAATTTTTATCCGATTTTTAAAAAAAAAAACGTTTTAGTATATCACCGTTATACCCTAATCATGGTTGAGTTCGAATTTCGTGAAAATCAAACCAAAACTGCCGGACAAAATGTCCACCCCTTGTACACAAATAGTGTAAAATATTGTACATCAAGGTTGTGGACCCTCTAGATGTCACAATTTTCATCTGATTTTGATGAAACTTGGAATGCATGTTTATATTCTAAAGATTTTGGTTCCTTTCGATATATTCGCGCATATCGGATCATAACTTCCTGAATTATGACAAAAACTTACAGACGTAATGGCCGTCCCTTGTACAGAAATAGTGTAAAAAATATCAAGGTTGTGGATCTTCTAGAGGCCACAGTTTTTGTGCGATTTAGATGAAACTTTATATGTTATTATCATAAAGATCTTGGTTCCTTTTGAACGTAACTTCCTGGATTATGGCCCCTGATTGGTTGAAAAATTGCATTTTTAGCGTGTGCATTCTCTAGAGGTCACACTTTTTTTTTCTGATTATAAAAACCGTTTAGATATATCACCATTCCACCATAATGAAGGTTGAATTGGAATTTCGGGAAAATCGAAATGAAAGCGCCTGACAAAATGGCCGCGCTTTGTATGCAAATTGTGTATAAGTATGTAATACAAAGGTTATGGACCCTCTAGAGGTCACAATTTTTATCTGATTTTGATGAAACTTAAAACATATCTTTATATTCCAAATATCTCAGTCCCTTTTGATATTTGCACATTTCAGACCATAACTTTCTGGATTATGGCCCTGATTGTACAAAAAATCATTTTTGTTTTTAGCTTGTTCTCTATCCATCTCTTGCAAAATGTGGGCATATCCTGCCTGGCAGCCGCTGGTTATACAGTTTCGTACACATCTGTATTGGCAAATAGTCGAAATAATGTGACTAAACAAATATTCCTTTCCACATTAATGTTCAAATTTTATTTTCCGACTGTATATCTTGGTCCCAGTCAGTGCAGAAACGGTAGGACATTGAACCGCATTTCATTTCACATATTTTGGTCAGTAGACATGCACCACACCTTGTGATCTATTTATTGTACATACAACTGTATATAATCATTTCACTTGATGTTATTCATTATAGGTCAGCAAGCAGCAGCAACAACAGCATTAGATTCGACATTATTAAATGATGTGCTAGAGGAACAGATGGTAGAAGACATGCAGAATCCTGGTAATGATGGAAATGATGAAGCAGCATTGGCATTTTTAATGAGTTTATTAGAAGCGGATGCTGGATTAGGAGGACCGATTGACTTCAATGATTTGCCATGGCCATTATGAGGATGTTATTTTTTTTTAGGTGACAATGACATGGAAAATGTTTTAAAATATTACACCATATAGTCCAGCCTTATAGATTCCATTCATTCCAGAGAACAATTAAGTTGTTTATGCGGCAGTACCGTCACTTATCTGTGTTATATTAAAGAATGTTGATTTATGAAGATATACCAAAAAATATACAGTAATAGAAATATATTGAAGAATGTTGATTTATGAAGATATGCCAAAAAATATACAGTAATAGAAATTATATCCAAATTTGTATTTGTGGGGACGCTTGACATCGAAAAACTGGAGAAAATTCTCAGCTCATTTTTACACGCTGTGCCTGTGTCGAAAAAAATATTTTATCTGTTATAATAGTTTATTTTTATGATATCATTACAAACAGAGTGCTTTTGTCAAAATGAATCAAGTGCCTGTTACACTACATGACAGCCTTACACACAGTGTGATCGGGCCAAGCAAGAAAATTTTATTATCTTTGCTCAACTCATTTTATTTTGCTTTATACATGGATTTATTGGTAAAGCGATTAAAGATTATCTGAATGGTAATCTGGAAAATAAAAATGATGTGACTATCTTTTACTGAAGAAGAAAAAGTGATATTGTTAATTGATAGTTTATATATATCTCCCCCAAAATTTGCCTTACGTAAGATGTGGGATTTCCAATTTAATAATGATTTTACAAATGGTATTATAAATTCTGTCCTTTAAAGATATTGTTGTTGAAAAATATTGTTGTTGAAAAATAGTAACCTCATTTTATTTCACTCTAAAATGGCAACGCAACCTACTTGTGTTCGTGTTCTTGTACTGTATTTTAGTACATCTAACAAATTTTGGGTGGGGGGGGGGTGTGCGTGTTGAAATTAATTGTTAGTCATTATTGTAAATACCCTTTCCAGTTCATTATTGCTAGTTCTGTAGGATCTAGAAGATTTTTAAATGTTGATTCTAGTAGCTGTCCACTTTAGCTATGTATTGTTATAGAATATTGAAATAGGTTGACTTTATTCTTTTAATTTTTGTTAACAACCTGCCATTTTATCCTTCTTTCTGTTGTAAAAGTTTTGATATTACAGTTTCTCTTTAAAGAAGTGTTATGTAAGAGCTAAATCTGCATATTGCAGATCTTTATTTATGGATAATTGAGATTTTAACTCAATTGTCAAGTATTGTTGCTATGATAATGTTCAATCTACACTATATATTTTGTCAAGACTTCAAACAGTGATAACTCTGAATAGAATAAAGTAATTTGAAAGAAATTGTCAATATCATCAATTTTCATTATCTATTTTTGAACTATTACAGCAAGAACAGCCAGCTCTTTATCTAAATCTAACATTATGTATCTTTAACTACAAATGTTTATATATGTATATGATAAACGGTGATTATATTAATTTCCAATATTTCATATTAATTCATTTTAGGTATCCTGTGATAATAAATTCTATCTGAAAGTTAATCTGAAATTACATTCACCTGCCTTCTAGAGTCATATACATGTATGATGTCACACAACCATCTATTTGTGATAGATCTGTCTATTCATCGCAGAGATGTTTCAGGATTGTAGTCCTACACATTATAGCCCATATTGATTTATAGGAGTTCAGTTGACGCTCATGCAAAATGCTTTGCTGATAGGCAAGTGCTTCGATTTTCAATAATTATGTGAATGGAAGATTGTAGAGAAATCAAATTAAAGAGCATTATTTTAACTTTATTGAGTAACGGCAATACTCTAATAGAATTATCTCCAGTGTTTCACATCACACTTGCTTCATTCTATTATGTACTATTATGGCACCTTAACCTCAGCTTTATAAAATAACTCAATCAGCAGTGCCTTTATTAAGATGTTCAAAGGTATACCTCTCAAAAAAACAGGTGCCATTAACAGCATTCTATAGTATTTTATTGTGTATTATAAATATACCTGTGAAGAGTAATGCGATTCTTCAATGTTAGGCCATATAGAATAAATTTTTGGTTCTCAGATACTCCCACATCACTTAAAGAGAGCTGCTTGACCTGGTTTTTTTTTTGTTTTTTTTTTTTGTTTTTTAAATAAAAAAAGGGATATTAATTACTGCAGGTAAAAAAATTTCTTGAGTTACAGGAAGTAACTATGAAAAATAAATTCTAATGAATCATGAAAAATACAGTAGGCCCTGTTATCAAGTACACAACTCTGTTAATCGTTACTGCTAATCATACAATCAACAACGTGCTGAGATAAATGAGTCATTAGCCATGTAGTGATACTTTGGCAAAAAAAAAAAAATACCTCCACATCAGATTTTTTAAGGAAGGATTGTCTTGAGAACCAGAATATTTTTTTTTGTATGGCCGTAATATATGGTCAACAGATTAATGAGTAGCATTATAGAATTCTTAATAGTATAAAATGTGAGAAGAAAATCAAAACCAAAATGTTTATTTTTAAATAAATCTTTCCATTTATTGTAAAATAAACTAATGTAGAATGCATGGCTGATTCTCTTTGAAATTGTGCATTAAGACATGATTATAAAGTTGCAAATATTTAAATATTGTCTTTAAATTGTCTTATTGCAACTGAGAATTAGGTATTTATATTATTTAAAACACATTAAATTGATATATTGAACATAATATAGTTTTAAGAATATTTTGAAAGGTAAACAAAAAATGTTTTTATTAGTAATATGAATATATTAAATTTCTTTTCTTTTTTTTTTAAGTTTTGATACTTTAAAGTAAGTATTAAAAAAAATATTACAATATTTTAATAATTAGACAAAAAGAGTTTGTATTATTAATTTAAATATAGTTAATTTCTTTATAATAAATTTAGCAGTCATTTTTAAAAGTTGTGATATATATAATGTAAATACATAAAAAGAACTGAAACGGGGTGTAATATCCTACTTTTCTGCACTGTAAATATATGAAAATTATGAATGTATAATGTCAGACTGTGATATAAATGTTAAAGTGTTTGTTCAATACATAAAATATTTTATAATTTATAATATTTCTTATCACAAAATAACACATTCTACAGTAGATATCGCTTGTGTGATAAATTTCATAATATACCACGAGGAGATATCACTTTACACGAATCTGATTGGTCAATTAAAAAGGAACTACTTTCTTTATTTTCAAAGAACAATTCATTTTTTATTAAAAGTAACTTCTTTTTAATTAAAAAGGAACTATTTTTCGAAGAAAGCAGGGGACTATTAAAATGGGTTCATCCGTCAGTCTGTCTGTCTGTCCGTCCCACTTTTTGGGACACAATAATTATCTGTCTAATTGAGCTAGAATGTTCAAACTTGGTGTAGGTGTTTATTAGGTCAATACCTTGATGGAGTTCGAAGATGAGCATTTTCCGCTTAGGGTAAGCGGAGATAAGCAATTTGATTGGTTGATGCTTTGGGACACGATAACTTTAGTTCTAATTAAGTGAGAGTGATGAAACTTGGTGTATAGTTTCATTACATCAACACCTTTACTAAGTTCGATAATGAGCATTTTCTGCTCAGGGTAAGCAGAGCGATAAGCAATTTGATTGACCAAGATTTTGGAACACAATAACTCTCCTTCTAATTGAACTAGAATGTTCAAACTTGGTGTAGGTGTTTATTGGGTCGATGCCTTGATGCAGTTCGAAGATGAGTATTTTCTGCGTAGGATAAGCAGAGATAAGCAATTTGATTGGTTGATGCTTTGGGACACGATAACTTTAGTTCTAATTAAGTGAGAGTGATGAAACTTGGTGTATAGCTTTATTACATCAATACCTTGACTAAGTTCGATAATGAACATTTTCTGCTGAAGGTAAGCAGAGCGATAAGCAATTTGATTGGTCGAGACTTTGGAACACAATAACTCTCCTTCTAATTGAGGTAGAATGTTCAAACTTGGTGTAGACATTCCTTAGGTGAATCCTTTGATGGAGTTCGATGATGAACATTGTCTGCTTACGGTAGGCAGAGATAAGCAATCTGATTGGTTGATGCTTTAGGGGCACGATAACTTTTGTTATAATGAAGTGAGAGCGATGAAACTCTGCTGAATATAAATTCATTATATCATTACCTTGACTTAAGTTCGATTTTGCGAATTTTCTGCCTGGGCTAAAGAGCGATTAGCAATTTGATTGGTCAAGACTTTTGATTGGTCAAGATGTTTAAACCTGATGTAGATGCTTTGGGACAAGATAATCTTGATTCTATCTGATAGAGAGTGATGAAACTTAGTGTGTAGTTTGATTGCTCGATACTTTTGAAAAAAATAAATGTGCGATTAATTAATGTGTCATCTATTTATTTTGGGATTTCGGCGGGGGACATCAGCCTCACTGTTGGCTTGTATTAACCAGTAATTGACGAATTTCATTGGTCAATTAAAAAGGAACTACTTTCTTTATTTTCAAAGAACAATTCATGTTTTATTAAAAGTAACTTCTTTTTAATTAAAAAGGAACTATTTTTATTTACCGGTAATTGACTTAGATGGAAAAACTGGGTCAATATAAAGGACTTTGCAATGGTTGAATTGCTGTCAAAATATGATGTATCACTGTGTTGTAATGTAATGGGGTTCAGTAAAACTGAAATCTATAACAAAGAATTATATGTAAGAAAGAATTGGGTGATAAATATAATCTCCTACAGGTCTTTTTTGATATCTCTATTTATACACTATTAAAAAGATTATTGAGAATTACTAATATTCCAATCTAGAAAGACATAGGAGATAGGTGTTATTTTAGGGTAACTAAGCCCTTGTTTAATTTATCTGTCATATAGTGCTACTGTACAGTTGTAGGCCTTAATAAGAAATTGTGCATTGAATATGAGAAAATAGATTTAAAGAATTTTTAAATCTGAGAAAAAATTGATCAGATACATCATTTGTTATTTTAATATACTTATAAAATTATGTAATGTACATATAATATTATTACCGGTATGTATCCAGATTCATTTCCTAATTATTTGATATTATAGACTGTTTTTCTCAAGAATGCTAGGGACGAGATGTGTGAAAAATGTTATATATTAAAGATATATTTGTTTTCTGTGGTTGTCCAAATTTATATGTAAAAAGAATTATATATGTATATAAATATATATATATACATGAATGTATTATGTTAATGAATATTGTTTTATATAAAATTGTTTCTTGTGAAATGTGGATCTTACTTTATTTAGTAGTAAACATTATGCTCATCGGTCACTATCGATAAACACTTGGATTCGCATATCCGAGCCTAAATGCAAAAGTACACACAAAATTTCTTAGTTATATGAACTTCCAAAATAAAACATGGTTATGGGTGTCCTTAGAAAGAGTAAACATGCAGAACACCAAACATTATGTATAGCAAACTGGAGCGATTCTTTAGTAAGCCAGCACTACTGGCTTTGAAAAGGTTGTATAAAATAATCTGCAGGATCATCTACGCTCAGGGTATAAGCTAGGCCAAAATACCAAAACTGCTCTTATCAAGATTAAATCTGACACTGATCATGGGATCAACATAAAATCATAGTGCTAACATGCACTGCATTTGATATTATTGCCTATAAAATAAAGTTCTGCGACACAAAAACACTTTAGCATAAAAAGTTTTGCATTCAGATGGATCTAGCCATATTTTTCAAATCGCTTATACCAAATGCAGCTCAGACATGTTATACCATCTGAGAACATAAACATTGCCAAAGTTGGTGTTCCTTAGGGATATATACTTGGACCACTCCTGTTTCTCATCTACCGGTATGTCATTTCTCTTCCTCAGTTGATAAGAACCACAGCTTAAAGAACAACAACTTAGCAAGATTATGTTCAATAAACCATGTGCAATTAATATTTCTTTTTCACAGTTCGAACCATATTATATGCAAAATATCCATGTATGGATGACAAAAAAAACCAATATGAAGTTTAATGATAAACAGATTTATAAAAACTATTTGCTATTTCTGGAGAAGGTACTTGTAAAGGTCATATCATATCATGGATCAATCCCTGGTTATTTGCCAGAAAAATCAAGTCCAAAAGTTATTAACATTAAAAATTGGTGAAGCAAAAACATGTAGCAATGATAAAGCATATCAACATACATGTATGTTTTATAAACAACTAGAACTAACTCGACTAATAAACGTATGCTTTAATAACAAGTCCTACCTACACAGTTGAATACGTAACTGGAAGTGGAAACAGCCAGGAACTTTTTTGTTCAATTATGACTTAAGTTGAATTAAATAGCATGCACTTGGAATATAAATTTAGAGGTTATATTAAAGGGACTATCCCGATTTGAAAAGAGTCTTGAAAATAAAAGTCCGAGTATGTATGAAATTTAAGCGCCAAAATATAGAGGAGTGGTGTGTTTACCGTGTCTCAAAATTTCAGCTCAAAATATTGAGTCGTTTGGTCGTGAACGCCAAAACTGCTTATCCGGACACGTAACCCTTTTAAGATTTCGGGTCAATTTCTTCTTTTGGTGACCTGATATTCGATTCCCGTTCCTTTAGAGGTCTATACCGTGAATGACCTATGTGCTGTACTTGATAACGAAAGGTAAATTTCACCTACACGTTATTTTTATAAAATAAAAGTCTGGTTTTATCCAGACACCGTATAATACTGATTGGGGCAACGGTCTCCATTCCCAGATGAAGACGGACAAATTTAAGTTGTTTGAAAACGTATTACATATATTGAATTAGTTGCTAGGCCCTAAGATAGAGGATTGTAAGGGGTTTTAACACAAAATTAAGCAGTTTTATACTCCAAAATGTAATCGGGATTAGCCCTTTAATCAAAACCAGGATGCACTTAACAGGATATAAATTGGTCTTTATTGGTTCCGGTAATTTTTATAAAACAGGCTGATTTTGACAGGGTTAATATATACATATAGAGAGAGCGAGAGAGATTTAACGTCCACTCGAAATAAACTGGGTCTTTTCGGGACAAACGTGTTTCAATTTTACTTCATTAATTCGCTTGCGCATAGGGTTCTTTAGCAGTGGGAGGAAACAGGAGGACCCGGAGAAAAACCCCAAAGGTCTGACAGGCGAGCCTACTCCTTGTTACGTACAACCCAATCTGATTAAAACACAGACCTTATTTCGTTTCATTTTTATAGTTCAAAATTTCATTTTACTTGTCTTTACTACACTAGGGTCTGGAAGAGCAGTTATATAACCTGTGTTCTATTGATTTGAGGGATTAGCCAATGAAACGGTCTGTTACAGCGAGGTTTTGGCGTGAGTTGTATGGAACTGTGGGTGACCCACTAGAAACATCAACGCTGATTGGTTAATCAAATGTTTAACGTCATAGGGTCAAAAGCCGCTTGTATGAGCTCTGATGCGACCTCTCGCTACAACTGGTCAGTTCTTCTTGTAGTATAAAAAAAAAGAAACGAAATATAGATCTGTATTTTAATCAGATTGCGTACAACCGGGAAATCGAAACCACGCCAGTAAAATTGACTCAAGGGCAGCCCTTATGATACAACGCGCACGCCCTAACGATTCGGCCATCCAACCCTATAGAAAGAAGATAATACGTTACTGATCGCAAAAAGTGACAAGGAAAGATGTGATATAGTATAGAACTAGTGAGGGTCTATTTTAACG